TCAAATAAATAAATAAAATCTTTAAAAAAAAAAAATTTTTTGAAAGGATGTTTGTAACTTGCATACATTTTGGATTTTATTATAAATAAGTTATTAATTTGGTTCTTAAAGTTTAAATATCATTATTATTATGTAACAGTTGGGTTACAGTTGACACAAAGTTACATTTTATAGATGTTTGAACATTTATTAATTTTGCCACTTTATTTTCATATTTTGGAACCTATATATATGTATTTTTTTAAAGATTTTATTTATTTATTTGAGAGAGAGACACACACAGCAAGAGAGGGAACACAAGCAGGGGGAGTGGGAGAGGGAGAAACAGGCTTCCCACGGAGCAGGGAGCCCGATGCGGGGCTCGATCCCAGGGCCCTGAGATCATGACCTGAGCCGAAGGCAGACGCTTAAAACGACTGAGCCACCCAGGCACCCCTGCTGATCTCTTTCTAGCCCAAATTAGAAGTAGACCTTGTTCTTCCATGTCATTTAGAAAGGTATGAACATCTTTGCCAAGGTTGGGAAGGCTGGTGCTTTGTCCTGCTTCCCTAGGGGGACCATGCAGCCACCTTGTATAATGTCTTGTCACCTGCTTGGGGCACTATCACAGTGCTACTCCTCGGGCCCAGAGGCCTCTCTCCCCTTAGTTCAGCAGTCTCTTCCACTTTTCTCTTCTTCTTTTTTTTTTTTTTTTAAGATTTTATTTTTAAGCAGTCTCTATACCCAACGTGGGGCTCGAACTCACAACCCTGAGATCGAGAGTTGCATGCTCTTCCGACTGAGCCAGCCAGACACCCCTAATTTTTCTCTTCTTGCCTTTAAGTCCTTCCTCTTTTTTCTCCCTTGGAGATACCTCCGAATATCTTTGGGGCTTTTCAAAGTGCAGAAAAAAAACATTGATTTCAACCTATTTCTGCTTTCTGTGTGGCAAAAATTTTGGATGAAGAAAGCACAAAATGGTCTGACTACCTGCTTTGGGAGAGTTATTCATATTACAATAAATTATCCTTCCACAAAGGAATGGATCCAAAGCCTATCTCTGCTAGTTACTCGTTCTGTGACTTTGGATCAGTGGTTCCTCACCTGTAAAATGAGGGAATAATTCGTACCTTCTTGGGTTGTTTGGAGGCTTTAATTAAGAGAATGATCTAGTAGAAGTATATAAACGAGAGTCGTATAAATGTTAGCTCTTGCTCCTTGTGTTTGCATTTCCAACAGATAGAACTGTGGCTCTACCAATAGAACCCATTATTGCTGCGTGTACTGTGGTCTTTCTGACGGTGTGCTTTGGCCTGATTGCTAGAAGAAAAAGAATAATGAAGGTATCTAAGTATTCTAAGCTATTTAGGTAAAAAGTCACCTAAATACAGGCAGAGAACTGGCTGTCTAAGTGACTCTGGAGTTGGGAACCACACTTGGACACTCTGGTCTAAAGATCTAAAATGGAAGTTGCTCAAAGAAATAAAAATCGTACAAATACTATGAGTACCCCTTTAACAAAGACTGGGAAGGCATCGGGACAAAACCTGGGTGAAAATAGCTGTGGTGTTAGGAGTAGGGGATTGGGGGCTGATTTTTCTTCCTTTTAAATTGCCCTTTATTGTTGCTATGGTACCTTCGGGACAATAAATAAATATACAGAGAAACATCTGCTATGGGTTCAGAGATCTGCATGAAAAAAAGTGGCCCTTGCTGCTCACCTTGTGAGTACAGCCCCAGGCCTTGGTAGCCGTGGGCTGGAGTTTGAACTGTTGAATGGCTCACCTTGGTGGTTAGCTTGGTGCAGCCTGTGTGCCTCTGTTAATGCCATGCATTTGGCTTCGCCGGTTATTCCAGTGCCAAAGGGAGGCAAATGTGGCAGGAAGCCTCTAAGAAAAGGCCAGTATGGTCTAGGCTTGTTAGTTATGCAGCAAGAGGCATCTTCTTGAAACATATGGTACCTGGGTATGATTCAGGGCAACAACGTCTCCCAAGAAGAAATTCACCCGCCCCCTGGTGCCAACCCAAAGCAAATTTTTGCCTGGGGAAAAAAAAGGAAGAAAGAAAGAAAAGGAAAGTAAAAAGAAATATTCAACTACCTAAGAATCCTGGAAGCATTTTGATTTAAGAATTACATCTCTGTAGGTTCAATAGAAATAATTAATATGGCCAAAGACAGACACCAGCGCAGAAGTGTCTGTATTTCCAGCCACCTCTGTATTGATGAGTATTTTTCTCGGTAGGAGATTAACAGACATTTGGGTTTCCTATCCCTTGAGCCACATTGGTGCATTCAAAATGTTTATCTACAGCCTTAGAAAAGCAGGCAAACTCATTGCCCTTGTGTTTGCTTTTAGCTGTGCATAAAGGATGAAGATCCTCAAAGAGACACAGCTTTGTAAGTACTCCAGGCTGGGGCCAGTGATTTCCCAGAAGCAGATGGGTAGCTGTGGTGTGTGTCATACTGGGCAAACTCCTCCTGAGGTGGGAGGTGCTGGGAGGTGAAGAGGTTCAGACAAGAATGGAGGGTGGCGGAGAATCTGCCTCCACTTTAGAGGAAGACAGGTGAGGCTAGGTTGGAAGGTTGCCTAGGACTGAGAATACTACCGTTGGTTTGTTTTTTTTTTAAGGTTTTATTTACTTATTTGTCAGAGAGAGAGAGAGTGCGCACAAGCAGGGGGGAGTGGCAGGCAGAGGGAGAAGGAGACTCCCTGCGGAGCAAGGACCCTGGGATCATGACCTGAGCCAAAGGCAGACGCTCAACTGACTGAACCACCCAGGCGTCCCACTATCGTTGGTCTTAAGCCTGCTTTCCACTTAGGAAGTTTTGGGCTAAATGCTAAATTGCCTGCATTGTATTGCCACATTCGTAAATGGCTGAAAGGGCTTACCCCGGGGGGTGGGGTGGGGTGGGGAGCCACGTTGCCTTCTCCTTTCTCCTTCACAATGGGGTCTGTAGCCCCAGCCCTCATTCTGAACACTGCCTTCTCTGTGGAGCTTCCTTTAGTCTGTTGGCTCCAGCCTCAGAGAAGTAAGCAGTGGGTAAAAAGAGCAAAGGTGTTCTTTCCAAGAGCGTGAATTTTGTTTTGATTTTTTTTTTCTTATTGCCATGATCGTCATTATAATTGATTTCTTGGTTCATTTCAGATGAGCAAGCTGAGATGCCATCTCACACACCAAGAGTTTTGCATCAGGACTTCCTTGATTTATGTAGTCCCATCTGTATTTATTGCTATTATTAAATTCACTCCTGTCAAGTTGTCAGAGGTTATGAAGAAGTGTTTCATTAAGCACTGAACAGTAGTTGTTATGACTAATTTGATATCCTTGCAGAACATTTTTATGGAGAACACTATTAAGAAGGAAAAGTAAGATTCTGTTAAGTCTTCTCCTTGAAGGGTATGTTAATTAATGGAGGTTTGCTCCAAAAAGGTTGGTCACCGTTCACCATTGAGTCTTTTTCTAGGTAGGAGATGAACAGATATTTGGGTTTCACGAATCAGTGCCATACCAAAATGAAAAGGGGAGCTGAACCTAGAGTGATCAATTTCTAAGTTGCCAAGGAAGCACATAAATAATGTCAATTATCATCCATATTCACTGTTGTCTCATAAAAGAAGTGTTTTTGGACTAAAAAAAGGACGGATATAATCTCAGAATATAAGGCATTCCTTTCAACAGAATAAATTTAGCATTGTGAAAAAGTCAGCATATGTCCTTATTTTTCTCATCTCATCCTGGTTTGGTGACACAGTTGCAGACTTTATGAGATTTACGTGGGGTTGGAGACGAAAACTGCAGGGGGCACGGGCTAGCCAGTGGCTCTGCTCACAGGCAACCTTCACCCTTCTCCATTTATTATGAGTCAGCCTGTACTCTTCTCATATACCTTCATTTTAAATTTTGGCTCTTGTGATTTATCATCAACCTTCCCCACTTCCATTCTTTCTTCATTTTTTCCCCTGAGAGTCTCTGCTTTGCTGCCCCACACAGGTGGGATGGGTTAGGGAGAGAGGTCGTCCTGGCCAGAATCACCTTTGATGTCTCTGCTCTGCTCACCCTCTTAGAAAACAACAACAACAACAATTTTTTGGCTTAATATTGCAGTAGCTGAAGGTGTCACAGCAAGAAAGAGAGATCGACTATCAGCCTTGTGGTTCAAAGCTTCTTACTGATAATGGAGGCAAAGAGAAGAAACGAGCAGATTGTAAGAAATCCCAACGGTCTTGTGTGTAAAAGGGACCCAGACACATCCTCCTGTGAGGCTTCTCTCTGCTTCCTTGGAAACTTCTGCATGGAATGCAGAAAGAGACCATTAAAGACTGTGATTTTCAGATTTCTTTGTCTTCTTGGAGGCCCCAGCAGGATTGTGTGGGGAAGCCTTCAAATCTTGTTCCTCATTCAGGATTTCTCAAAGTAGAATTTGGAAGCCCTGTGAAACGGTGTAAGGACAAGGTAGGAGGACTGTGAAAATCTGGAAGTTTAGACAATGAAGGAGAAGCCTGGAGACTCTATGGAAGAAAACACACACACCTCAGGCAATGGGGGGTTGGGATAGTTTAAAGTAGAAGGGAAAATGGGAAAAACTTACCTATCTAATTGGACTTGGAATTGGGAGACCCGAATTCCAGTCTTGGCTGTGTTACCTTGGGCAAGTCCTTTAAGCTCTCTTGGGCCTTTGGAATACGAGGAGGTTGGATTGGAGGAAGAACTAATTTTCATGTTAAATTTCATGTTAACTCATGTGGTTCTCAAAAGATTCCCAAATAGTTTAGTTAAATGCTGGAAGGAGTTGGCAAGAAAAACTGAACACTTAATACCTTTGCCCTACATAGCAGAATTATGAATCAGCTTTGTTCTAGGACATATAGCAATCCTTGAGTATTACGGGTCATCAGTAGGGAATTTCTTCACCCTTACAAACTTCAGTGACCTTGTACATTAGCACAGACAAGGAACGTTAGTTTTAACAGAGCATAGCAATATCGCAAATGGTCACAGCATTTCATTTTGCCTTAGTTTTGAAAAAAAACCCAGAGCCTTTATTAAAAACTGTGTCTGTTATTTTTTTTTTTTGAGGGGGAGGGGCAGAGGGAGAGGGAGAGGAAGAGACAGAATCTTAAGCAGGCTCCATGCCCAGCACAGAGCCCAAGGTGGGACTGGATCTTACAACCCTGAGATCATGACCTGACCCGAAATCAAGAGCTCGATGCTTAACCGACTGAGCCACCCAATCTCTCCAAAACGGTGTCTCTTATTTAAAATTAGAAGTTCAGCCTAGAACCTGACTTAAAAGGACAAAATTCCAGAACTTAAAAGAAGCCTCCATGGCCTTTCCCTAAATATCTTCTCTATCTACTATGAGATACTTGAAATTCCAACATTAATAGTCTGTTTTTGACACTTTGGGCTGCAAATACCAGTGAAGAAGTGACAGACAAAGCCAGTTGTTATCTTCTCAACCTTTCTACCAATAGGAACACCTTTTGTAATTATCATTTTTCTCCTTTTTGGGCCCCATTTTTTGAAAAACAAACAAACAAACCCTGGTCTATCAAGAAACCTGTATTTATTAAGTAATAATAATCTGCTTTCCCAATTTTCAAAACATCAGTGATACTGGGGCACCTGGGTGGCTCAGTGAGTTAAGCATTCAACTCTTAATCTCAGCTCAGGTCTTGATCTCAGGGTGGTGAGTTCAATTCCTGCATTGGGCTCCACATGGAGTATGGAGCCTACTTAAACAAAAATAAATAAATAAATAAATACATAAATAAATAAAACATCAGTGATTTCTACTTGCCAATCTGAACTTCTTTCATGATGGTGCAATTACCCAGTTGATGAAATTCCATTTCAGAGCAAAGAAATCTGGTGCTTTACTTAACCTGGGCAATCTTTTATAGGTTAACAATATAATCACTGCCGTTAGGTTTTTTGAATCACTGAAAATAGCTTCCAAACTCCTTTGCTCACCAATTTTACCCCTGTTATCACCACCATCACCTGAACCTACTGGCCATGGGTCATAAAGTCAAATTCTTACAGGGGTCAAGCAGATCAGTGAAAAAGGCAAGTTGTTAAACAATAGGGAGCGGTGGGGACAGAGGCAAATAGAGAACACAGCTTTGTCTATAAGAGGGTGAATAGCTGCCATTGGGGACAGATCTTCTGATTCTTTAAGAGAAGTCAGAACTCTGAATTTTTATGTGTAATTTTCTTAATTAAAAAAACTTGAGGGGGCACCTGGGTGACTCAGTCAGTTAAGCATCCGATTCTTGGTTTTGGCTCAGGTCATGATCTTGTGGTTGTAGGATCAAGCCTCATGTCTGGCTCTGCACTCAGCGGGTAGTCTGCTTGTCCCTCTCCCTCAGCTCCCTCCCCACTCTTGCTCCCTCTCTCACTCTCTCTTAAATAAATAAATAAAATCTTAAAAAAATTTTTTTTTAATCCTGATGTCTAGAAGTAGATGAATCCTCTCACCCCAATACCTGCTAATCTGTTAGTTAAGTTACAACCCAGCATTGTCTTGGGCTTTCATTATCTCGTGGAGATTTTTATGAACAGCTCTTGTAATTTTCACCCCTGTCCTCCTCTCCTCCAAAGCTTAGGCATGATCATGAAGAAGTAAGTCAGAGGGCAGTTATATTGTGCTGAGGACTTTACCTGTGTTATTCGATCCTATCAACAACCCTTAGGAAGTACTGATGACTGTCACAACTTTGATGATGGGGACACTTGGGCTCAGAATGCTTCACTCACTTATAGAGAGTGACTAAGCTGGGATTCATATTGGCCTGATCCAAAGCCTGGGGCCTGGAGCAGGGGAGAGGATATCACAGAAGGGGCAAAGGTTGAATAATAAAGACAAACTTCACTTCTCTCATATATTGCCAAGAAAGATGTCCAATCCTACTTTAGTGACCTATAGATCATTTATTTTGAGTTCATAAAAAAAAATTAACTTGTCTCATTAAAAAAATCCAAATAATATTTAACCTCATACCAGTGACTATAGAACAAAACCCATAATTAATCACAAATTCTTTAACACTCAGGTAATCTTACCTTAAGAGCCTATCTCTGCAACATCAAGGTTATTCCAGAGCAAACAACTTAGAGCATGGGTAGCTCTAAGATTTACAACAATCTTTGAAGATGTTACAACACTCCCTGATATCATTCGAGATGTCCTGCAATGTTGCAGTATGGGAGCTGAGAATTGCTGTCCTAGATATTTGCTTGTCCTTCTGACGATCATAATCAACAAGTATTACTCTTTGCCAAAGGGTTCGCCTAGATAATTTCTTAATATTGCAGCAACCCTAAAAGGTAGGTGTTGGAATCATCATTTTATAGATGAGGAAATTGAGGATTAGAGAAACAAAATAACTTGCTCCGACTCCCACAATTGGCATGGGGTGGAGCTGGGATTCACTGATCTCGCATGACCTCACAGTCCATGCTCCTTCCCTACACTGCACCCTCCTGGGGCAGGGGGACAGAGGTAAAGATACTGGAATGTGACTGACAGCATCTTACTGACTGGAGGCTTGGGGGTTGTGGCAGAGATATTTAGCGTTAACTGAATATCCTTGTGCTCTTCACACTTCCCTGCCCCCTTTGCCATTAGATGGTGCGTGTAACTAGTCCTAGTCAAGGGGCTATGGATAGAATTAACAGTGTCACTTCTGGGCAAAGCAAAGCAGAATGGGTGCATGTTCTTTAGGTTCCTCCCTTCCCTCCCCCCCCCAATATGGCCACTGTGGAGCGATGTTAAGAGCATCTGTCAGCCTGGGATTCTGAGTAACAATGTGGAACAGAGCTACCTGCTCGCAGGTAAGTGAGAAATAGACCCTTGTGTTAAACCACCGGATTTTTTTTTTTAAGATTTTATTTATTTAT